GTGGTGCCCAGGGGCTGGGTGTCTGTCCCGGGATCTGTCCTTTGGGCGGTTAGCTCCTGGCTTGATGCTGCCCTGGGCCTCTCCCTGCCCCTTTCCGTTACATTATTTTTCATTTTTATTAAATTTTTTTATTGATTTTAGGACAGGAGAGAGAAACATGGATTTGTTGTTCCACTTATTTACGCAGTCGTCGGCTGCCTCTCGTGTGTGCCCTGGTCAGGGATGGGACCCACAACCTCCGTGTGTCAGGACAGCACTAACCCACTGAGCTGCCCGGCCACGTTTCCCTTTTCTTTTTTTAATTTTGAAAACTTCTATACTGATCACCCAAGTGGACAAACCCTCACTCGCTGTCAGCGTTTCCCACCCTTACTTCTGACGGTTTTGTTTTTCTTCCTTTTTGCTGGAGCATCTGAAACATTTCAGTCATCAGATCACTTAGGATAACGATGACTGTTTTAGCATCCCCACAGTGCTGTTCTCGCTCCTAACAAAACTGACCATATTTCTCAATGTCACCGAAAAGCCAGAGTCACATTCATTATGACCAAATACTTAAAACTAAGCCACAGGAATTTTCTCGTTACACACGTGAGCATCCTCATGTGGATGGTTAAATGGCTGGGGGACAGGAAGGCCTGGGGGGTGGACGCGTGTCGGGGTGAGTGGGACAGCGGTGGGCAGGGTGGGCCTGAGCTGTCCTCTTGATCCCGTCAGATGACAAGGACAAGATGAGCAGCAAGCACCAGCTGCTCACCTTCGTCTCCCTGCTGGAGACCAACAAGCCGTACCTGGTGAACTGTGTCCGCGTCCCTGCTCTCCAGGTGGGTCCCGGTGTGGCGACTGCGTCACAGGGGCTGGGCCTGAGAAGTCGCCTTCCCCTGCTGGCTGCAGGCATCGGCCCAGACTGTTGGGCGGCTGCTGTCCTCCATTTGTGCGCTCGTGTAGCAGCGCCTGCTGCGTATCAGGAGCTATTGAAGGTGCTGGGAACACAGTGAACTAAGCAAGACCCGGGCCCTGCTCTCCTGGAGCTGATGTCCAGCGGGGAGGGCGGAAAATAGCAATGAACCAAGGACAGCACTAAACAAGCATTCCAGGAAATTAAAAGGAATCGGGCAGGTTAGGAGGGGTGGGGTGAGGGTGAGGGTGCGGGACAGGTTCCAGTAGGAAATAAGGCGATCTGGACGGGGCTCAGTGAGAAGGTACGATTGAGCAAAGACCCGAAGGGAGGGCGGGAGAGAGGAAGAAGCCGTAGGGAGTCCTGGGAGAAGTGTCCAAGCAGCAAGCGCAAAGGCCCTGAGGCACACGCAAGCTTGGCTTGCACAGGGAACAGCTGGAGCAGTTAGTGAGGAGACTTGCCAGAGGTGAGGTCAGAGAGACAGGTCAGAGGGAGAGGAGGTCAGGAGGCGGGTGAGGCTGGAGCCCGCCCCCCTCCCCACAAGGGTTTGGAGCAGAGCCGGGACAGAGTCTGACACGGTTGGAAGAGGGAGCCCAGCAAGGAGACAGAAGGAGGGGACGGTGGCTGGATATGGGTGGAAGCCGAAGACGTGCTCAGGTTGCAGATGTACTTGTATTTGTGCCTGTAGCCAGAGAGTCCTGTAGCTGCCACACCTCGCGGCTCACTGCATGCCAGCTTGCGGTTCTAGGACTGGTGTGTTCTCACTATAGGGGTGAAGACGGCCTCTGGGGGCGTCGGGGGGCTGCCACTTGTCTAAGCCATACAGTGGGCCAGGGCCGGTGTCCCATTACCAGGACCCCCTCGCTTCGCCCCCGGGAATGTCCTGGGAAGAGAGAAACCCTTCAGGTCCCGGAACTCAGTAGATTTTGTGCTGCTATGATTTTGTTGTTGTTAATCCTCACCTGAGGGTATTTTTTCACTGCTTTTCAGAGAGTGAAGGGGAGAAAGGGAGGGGGAGAGAGAAACATCAGTGTGAGAGAGACTCACCAACTGGTTGCCTCCTACGCGCACCCAGACCGGGGCGGGGAAGGAACCCACAACCCAGGTACTTGCCCTGGACGGAGAATTGAACCCATGACCCTTCAGTGTGTGAGCAGTGCTCTAACCACTGAGCACACCGGCCAGAGCATTACTGTGATCTGCATTGGGCTCTGAGCTGCTCAGTTGTGCTCATTCGCTCATTCACTGAGCACCTGCCTTGCACCGGCATTAATTACTGGTCTAGGTGCTGGGGGGCGTTTGTGATCAGAAGCGACAAAGCTCCCTGTGTTCGTGGGGCTCACATACAAGTGGGGGAGGCAGACGGTGAACAGAAACAGAAATAAAGGTCAAGGAGGAGCCAGACGCTCCTGTCAGTGCTGGGGAGAGCGGAGTGGGGCCAGGGAAGAGCAATGGCCGTCAGCGGGCCCTGGGGGGAACACAAGGATTTGCGGGTGGAGACGCTGCCTGGAGGGCAGCCTCCCCGCCGGCCCCTGCACAGGGGGTTCGTGGTGGAGGATTTTAGACACACACACGGGTAGACAGAATGCATGTTGAACCCTCCCGGCCATCTCCCAGCCCAACATCCACTCCCCTGCACGTCCTAGAATTGTCCCCAACATACTGATTCTCACACCGAAGAGTTGAAAGAAGAGTGTGGGGAGCACTCATACCCTCGTTTCCAAGATTCTTCAAAGGATGTTGGTTTTTTGGTTAATCTCCACCTGAGGATATTTTTCCATTGGATTTTAGGGAGAGTGGAAGAGAGAGGGAAAGACAGAGAGAAACATCGATGTGAGAGAAACACATCCATTGGTTGCCTCCTGCACGAGCCCTGACCAGGGCCCGGGCCAGGGAGGAGCCTGCAACCCAGGTACATGCCCTTGACCAGAATCGAACCCAGGACCCTTCGGTCCACAGGCCAATGCTCTATCCCTGAGCCAAGCCGGCTGTGGCCAAAGGACATGGGTCTTATGCTTGATGACACACCTGTCCTCACCATTTCAGTAGGTGAGTTTTCTTTTCAATTTTTGCTGCATTTCAAAGTAAGGTGCTGACATCAGTGCCTTCACCCTTAAGCACTTCAGCATGTGTCCCATTCATTAGCACCTACTATTTGTTTGTATATTTGAGGGCAGAATGTGTATAGAGCGTTAGGGACATCGTTTGAGGAGGGTTGACTTGCATGTAACCCCACCTGTGAAGATGTGGCCGTCCCCTCAGCTGTCTGCCCCACCTCGGGTAATGACTACCCTCCTTCTAGAACACTCTCTGCTTCACTCTGCTCTTTATTCACCCGTCGCTCCAAGTGGCATGTCCGCTCCATGGGGGCAGGGACTCGGTCTTCTTGTTCACAGTCGTATCTCTAGCACCTGGAAGAGCGCCTGGCACAGAGTAGGCGTGTAGTAAATGTTTGTTGGCAGGAGTGGATGGATGGATGGTAATTGGTTGGACAGGTGGATGGGTGGGGGAACTGATGAGTACATTGGATAGACAGGTAAATGGATGGACAGGTGGATAGAAGGACAGGTAGATGGATGGACAGTTGGATAGAAGGACAGGTAGATGGATGGACAGTTGGATAGAAGGACAGGTAGATGGATAGACAGGTGGCTAGAAGGACAGGTAGATGGATAGACAGTTGGATAGAAGGACAGGTAGATGGATGGACAGGTGGCTAGAAGGACAGGTAGATGGATAGACAGTTGGATAGAAGGACAGGTAGATGGATGGACAGGTGGCTAGAAGGACAGGTAGATGGATAGACAGTTGGATAGAAGGACAGGTAGATGGATGGACAGGTGGCTAGAAGGACAGGTAGATGGATAGACAGTTGGATAGAAGGACAGGTAGATGGATGGACAGGTGGCTAGAAGGACAGGTAGATGGATAGACAGTTGGATAGAAGGACAGGTAGATGGATGGACAGGTGGCTAGAAGGACAGGTAGATGGATAGACAGTTGGATAGAAGGACAGGTAGGTGGATAGAAGGACAGGTGGATGGATGAATGAATGTCGGCCAGAACCCAGCATGTGGGGGCCCCTCACCCACTGCCTGTTTTCTGCCCCGTCTCTTCCAGTCCCTCCTGCTGTTCAGTCGGTCCCTGGACACCAATGGTGACTGCTCCCGCCTGGTGGCTGATGGCTGGCTGGAGCTCCAGCTTGCAGACAGTGAAAGTGCAGTCCGGCTCCTGGCGGCCTCCCTGCGGCTCCGTGCCCGCTGGGAAAGTGCCCTGGACCGGCAGCTGGCCCGTCAGGCACGTCGGGGGCAGCCGGCGAAAGAAGAGGAAGAGGAGGAGGAGGAGGAGGCTCCGGTCAACCGCCAGGAGGTGGTGGCCCTGAGCAGGGAGCTGCTGCAGTTCACAGCAGCCAAGGTACCCGCCGCCACCCGGGCCGGGGTGCCCCGACCACCACAGCTTCCAGGGCGGTGATGACAAGCCCGGGGTCACACCTGGTGAGGGCCGGAGCCAGGATCTGACCCGGGCCTGGCTCCAGAGGCCGCACTGTCAGCCGTAGCCCTGATTCTGCTCTGGTCCCCCGGCTGCGGCTGCGGGAAGCGAGGTGCGGGGCGGCCCACTCTCTCCTGTCTCTCTCCGCAGGTCCCCTACGCTCTCCGGCGGCTCACGGGGCTTGAAGCCCAGAACCTCTATGTGGGGCCCCAGACCATCACCACTGCCCCCAGCCTCCCCGGCCTCTTTGGCAGCTCTCCCCTGTCCCCCCACCCCACCAAAGGGGGCTACGCAGTCACCGACTTCCTCACCTACAACTGCCTCTCGGTGAGCCTGGGCACCCTGGCCCCTCACCCTCCTGCCCCCGAACGTGGGATTTTAGGGAGCCCCCCACCCACATTTCACCCCAGTCCAGGGGTAGTTGCAGAATGGGGCCTGCCCCCCGGGGGGTTCTGAGGAGGGACCCAGACTGGCTGTTGGGGGCGGGGCAAGGCCCTGACACAGCGTGCCCCCCCGCAGAGC